TTCAGGTCCTGAGCCCAAGTGCTTAGTAACAATAACAATGACAATAACAATAATAGTAACAATAATATTAGCTTAGGCTTCATCAGGGGCATGACTCCTGTTCTGGTTCCGGTTTCGGTTCTCTCCTGCAGCAGTTTCGATCACGTCTCCTGTCCATTTCCCGCTACGGTTGCGGACGAGTCTGTTTACGGGCGTTGGTAAGGTGGTTTCCGTTACTCTCGCATTGGTTCCTGTTACTTCCCGCGCCCCCCGGAACTTTGGGAAGCATCATTCCAACAGTCAAACACCCGGCTTTGCGCAGGTCAAGTTGGCACAAAGTGCAAAGAGATCCCCAACCTTCCATCCGGTGCGCTAGCGGTTGGTGTGCTTCTTGCCTTGCCCTTGAAAGATGTAAGGACCGAGCACATCTGCAAAAGCAGCACTTGCAACTCCTCGTCATGCAGCAACTAGATGCCTGCCTTTTTTAATGCCGAGCAGTACTCGGCATAAAGAGGCACGCGGGCAGGCATTTCCAATGCCATACTCTGCAGCAGGAACCCTGCACCTTAAGCCCTCCAAAGCAGGATCTTGCCTCCTTCCACTTTTGGGGGGACGTCTCCTCCACGCGTTGCGCCGCAATCTTTGCGTTGATGTTGCCCAGGCGATTCCTGAAACATGTAGATGAGCGGAATGCAGAGGGACAATCTGAGAAGTGGTGAGGGAGTACCCTAAAGGCTTTCGACGCAAAGTCCCGCAATTTTACATCCCGGTACGTAAGCCCGCCTATACCCCTATCTCTATCGGTGAACACCAACCCCTCTGGGCATCTCGCTGACCGTTTGCAGCGTACATTCCAGGCATTGCAAGGCGGCTCAATGGCGAGGAACCCCTGCGTGGGGCTTAGGTTGTATGGGGTTTAGGGTTCAGGGGTTTACCTGGATATCCAATTGACTGCACTATTATAACAACTGTCAACTCAACTCTTACAACTGTCTATCATAATTATGCTCAACCGGGATCTCGGGTAGGGTTTAAGGATGCATTGCTTCATTGTCCTACAAACCCTAAACCCTACAATCCCCCTTAAGTAGATAGAATATGGCTTTGGGTATAGTATAATAAGATCCCATATACCCCATGTTCTATCTACTTAAGGGGGGCTATAAACCCTAAACCCTAGACCGTAAAGAACCCTCACATCTTCGTCCTGCTTGGGCTGCGCGCAATGTCCACTCCTGATCAGGGCTTCTACAGGAACCCAGACCCCCTAAAGGATCTAAAAAATGGAACCCCTCAAAAGGGGTGTATAGGGGTTATATAGGGGCATATAGGGTTTAGGGATTAGGGTTTAGGGCTCCAAAAAATGGAACCCCTTAATAATCCACTATTTTCCCCAATGCAGTAACGGGTGTCACTTTGGGGGTTCAATTTTTTGGATCCTTTACGGGGTCTGGGAAGCTCGCAGCATGGCTTTGCAATCCTAGGGATCCCCCTACAACTCAAAGTGATAATACTAACAATAAAAGTGGTAATAATAGAATATGAATAACAATAATAATAGTAGGGTTTTGGGTTTAGCGTTTTGGGCCCACACCCCTCATAAAAACTGAAGATATGTTAGTGTGTTTTATTGGGTGTATGTCCTTTGTTGGGGGGAGGGGGGGGTGGGTGACGGTACTGATCGGCAAAAGAAACTTACGACAGCAACATCATTATAAGCATGCTGCTGACAGGAAGTACTTACACGAACAGCAGCAACAAAAATGCCGACAACGATGGCACCAATCTTGATATCGTAGTAAGCATATTGAGAATACCGCTACCATCCTGATTCTATGAGGCATTCTGGTAGTAAGGCCTTGCTGCTCGAAAATGGACCGCGCGTAGATCACCGGCAACGTGCTAACCAGTGGAAGCAGCGAGGGCAAGAAGTTGCGGCAGGAAGTCTCCACCCACGGACTCGGCAAGGCAACAAAAGTGAGGGGGTTTTCGGGTCTAGGGTTTAGGGTATAGGGGTTAAGGTTTTTTCTTGGGGGAAGGGTTTAGGGTTCAGGCTGCCCTTTTTGCATCAGGGCATCATTACTGCCTGGATCCGCACTCACCAACTGCCCTAAACCCCCTTCACCCTAAACAGTAGTTTCCATCTTCTTTTCCATTATCCCTATATAACCCCTATATATGCAGGGTTTTGGGCCAACAAGTGTATTGTCCAGGTTCTAAATCATGCCCCGTCCCTTTCCTAAAGCCTTAAACCCAAATCAGAAGCGTTTTATCTTCAAAACCAAAACAGACCCGATTTTGAGATAATATGGGACCAATGAAGTTGCAACATAGCGTTGTTCTTACTAACTGTTTCATTGCTCTACTGTTGATACTGCTCTCATCTGTATGATGCTATCGCTGGTTTACCTTGTTGTTGCTAGTATCTGCTCTATTCGGGTATAGGTACTGTGTGGACACTACAGCTTCATAACCAATAAAAAAAGTAGTTTCCACTATACATTCCATTATCCCCAATATTGCCCCATTATCCCTATATAACCCCAATATAATATACTAGGTCTCGGACTCCATGGCGTTCGTGACAATCACGACCTCAGCTGGTCTCAAACTCCGCTGAACATGCTGCAAAACGATTCACGTAGTCAGCAGCAGAAACCATTGAGGGTTTCGGATGTTTCGGCTTTGTGATTCCGGATAGGAGCAGGACTCGTAGAAGATTAAGGTAGAAGCCGGTGGGAGGCTCGCTCTGTACTGAATTAATCCCCAATCAAATGAAAGCTGTCACCTGGATTGTAAAAGATATGCCCCATTCTGTACTAGGAACTGACCTTTGGAACCCCCCGAATCCAGTGAGATCGCAGCAAACTCCCAAGCCAGATACCCTAAACCCTAGACCCTAAACCCTAAACCCAGCTGAAAAGTTGCTGGAAGCTCAGCAACTGACGGTGCCCAGTTTCATCGCCATTTTGATCAGGACCTCAACGGCGGCCTCCACACACATTGTGGGCCCCAAGATGGTACCCCTAATTTTGGGAAACCCCTACTGTGGATATCTACCCTGAACGCCGTCGACATGGCGCTTTCTCAAAAAAAACGGGTAGGACCATTCGGAATACCTGCGGATTATAGGTATATTCTAGGGTCCCCTTCGCGGAATTATCGGGGCTGTTGTTGAGAAAGTCTGCCATGAAAAATATCACCCTTATATGACCCCTATATAACCCCTATAAGATCCCTGTATAACCCCTATATAACCCCTACATAACCCCTATATAATCGCTAGTTACACCATGCCCCCTCCTGCAACTCGCGAAGTGGCTTTTGGTACTTCTCCACATTTGGAGCTGGCTTGAAGAAGCTCAAAACCTGGCAGCGGCAATAGAAGAAGCCCATTTTGTCAAGTTAACCAGGCTTTTTAGGATTTGGGGTTAGGGTTTAGGGACCTTAGAGTTCAGGGTTTCGGGTCCCCAGACCCTAATCTCCAGAACAGAAGGTGTCTGCTGCAAAGCAAGCCGTGTCTGGCTATCTGGGCCATTGTCTAAACTCCTAGTATCCCCCTTAATAGGCCCTATAGTAGTCCCCAAAAAAATCCCTATATAAACCCCCTTTAAGGAGTTTAGACTTACGCTCATCTGGGCCTTCTTGTTTGCGCGGATCCAGCTGGAAGGACAGAGCCTGGCACACATCCAAAGCTAGAGAAAATACTGTGGGTGGTTATTGATATTGTTACTATTGCTAGTGCTGCTTTTCGATTGAATATTCCTACTGTCAATACACCCTAAACCCTAAACCCTAAACGATATTAGAATAACATAGGGTTAGGTCAAGCCTTGGCTAAGAGCAGCCGTAGGGGTGGTTTAAAGTACTGAGCGCCCATCGTATCATCCCAGTCGAAGATGATGATGGTCTGTTCCTGGGCCGGTGACCAACCCTGCACCCCAGATCCTAAACCCTAAGCCCTAAATAGTAGTTTCCATTTTCTTTCCATTATCCCTATATAACCTCAAGATATACCCTATTATGTAGTTTCGATTTTCTTTTCCATCAGCCCTACATAACCCTAATCTATACCCTATTACAATATAGTAGTTGCGATGTTCCTGGCCATTGTCCCTATATAACCCCCATATATCCCCTATAACCTGAACTCAGAGCTTCTTAGGAGGAGACTGGTCGAAAGTACTCTGCCTGGCTCCCGGTGCTAATCATAGACCTCAGTAAAAGCACTGCTTTCGTGTTCCAACCTGAGGTTAGGGGATTATAGGGTTTAGGGTTTAGGGTTTAGGGCTTAGGGCTTAGGGTTTAGTGTTTAGGGCTTAGGGTTTAAGGTTTAGGGTTTAGGGTTTAAGGCGTTTTCTGTGTTTGGGTAAAAAATGCCGCGTGGCCCGAGGGTTCGGACTTCAGAAACACGAATCCCATATCCATACATACTTGTGCAACGTCGCTATATAGCCCATTGTGATTCCAGGTCGTTCCCATTTTTTAAGTACATGTCTCCCTTCGATATTCCCAACTTCGGCTTCCAGGGCCCCAATGAAAAGACCACGTATGGCCCCCAAAGCTGCGACTCTAAACCTTGAACCCCAACCCTTGTGACCCGGGAGCTTGGTACATGCCAGCAAGTGAGACTCCACACGCCGAAAACAACTTCAACCCCGAACGGGAGAGACTGCATGACTCGCTCTCGATGTCTTGGCCCCTGCTCCTTTACCAAAACATTACCCCTTTGTAACCCCAATCTATACCCCATTGTAGTATAGCAGTTTCCACTTTCTTTTCCATTCTCCCTACATACCCTTATATTATCCCAATATTTCCTTATATTACCCTATATTATCCCTACATTTCCTTAGATCACCCTATAATATCCCTATAGAACCCTAAACCCTAAACCCTAAACTGTTAGAATCCCAAAGCCAAAACCATTTTTGAATCCTCTGGGCCGCTCACTCAATGGTCTTGCGGATACTTGGCTTCTGCTTCACAGCCACTCCTCAGTACTGTTAAACAGTTTAGGGTTTAGGGTTTAGGATTTAGGGTTTAGGGTTCTGGGTTGGCCCCTAAAGCCCTTTGAAAAATATTAGTATATAGGGTCCCTTATTAAAGCCATTAGGGAAAACATGAAATATCCCAGGGGCCTACCCAGGGGTTAAGGCTTAGGGTTCAGGGTTTGTCCTCAGTAATGTGAAAAGGGACAGGCTACTGCGCGATTTGCAAGATGTCCTTCGAGGAATCCCCGTACAATTCCCGAAAATACGTTTTATCCCCACAGTTTTCGACTGCTCCTCTATACCCTAAACCCCTACATACCCTATTCTAATATAGTAGTTTCCATTTTCTTTTCCATTATCCCTATATAACTCCAACATACATCCTTTTCGCACCCCCATGTCAAGTCAACCCCTCAAAGCAACCCAGCCTTTGCCAGGATTTTGAATGGCGCGCCTGCAGGAGTTTGAGGATCCAAGACAAAGCACACCCACTGACATAAAAGGCGGTCACTGGGTAAAGGTTTTTTCAGGTGTCTTTGATTCAAAGAATTCTCCCTGACTGCAAGCCCTGAACCCTAAGTAGTACTTTCCACTTTCTTTTCCATTATCCGTATATAACCCCAGTATATACCCTATTATATCCTATTCTAACATGGTGGTGTCCATGTTCTTTTCAACTATCTCAGTATCCATGGCTGCATGCACCCGGGCCTTGAAACCATCGCCATGGCTACCTAGACAAGAGCAAGCTCTGGACGCGACACAGTTTTATTGCTTCAGCTTCCTGGCACTTTGAGCCGTGAAAAACATAGAACGTGCGCCAGGTACGCTCGCTGAGACGGTAACCAACAGAAGCTACTCTTTGGGGTACTGCACCCCCGCACTACCAATTATGAAATAGCAGTTTCCATGTTTTTTTTGACTATCCCCCCATATATTACTATGGTAGTTTCCATTTTCTTTTCCATTGTCCCTATATACCCCCAATACAACCCTTATAAAACCCATATGCCCAGTGAGAAACCGGGGCAATTGGAGCTTGGCATACTTTGATTACTTTCGACTGTTGGTGAGCTGGCGCAGTGCCCGAACTACTCTCCTTTGGAAAGGCGTGCAGAATTTCTGTATTGGGGTTATAACAGGGGTTATATAGGGGCTTGTATTGGGATAATGGAAAAGAAAATGGAAAGTACTATATCTATATCATTTACAATATTTCTTCTTTCCTAGAACTGTCCCGGAAACTATTTTCTTGTCCAGCGCTAGGACTGTACAGCAGAAGAAATAAACACCTTTGTCCGAATCTACCGCCTTCTTTGTGACGCTTCCAGGACGTCACCCTGCTTTATGCATGTAATCTATATACAAACGGGGCTGAGTGCCATATCGAGACAGAGTCTCTTTGACACCATCCTAAGCAACATGCATGGTCGAATTGCAACTTGCATAACCCATAAACCACAACTTCTACCTTTTCATGGGTGCGCAAGGGCCAAAAAATGCCCAGAACATCGAACTCCGCATGAGGCTGGCGGACGACGACTGCCAAGGCATCAACATGCCATAGTGGGATTTGGCTTTCGCTGATAAAGCCATGCCAGACCTGGTTGGAAGATTGGAGGCCTGAATATCTGGATCTGCGCTTTTGGAAGTCCTTTCTAACTGCAGCATCTTAAAACGGAGGAGCAGGGATGCGCCCGGGTCTAGCCTGGGAGGTTGACATGGTTTTGCCAATTCTCCCAGGAACTGTGCATGCGCTTGACTTTGTGGCCCCGTACAGTCCAAAGTCAACAACGCGGGTTAAAAAATGTGGAACATGCAACTAAAACAGGCGAATTTGAGGTGCCCGACCACTTACAGCATCATTCAGTCGGAGAGTACATATGAACATAGAGCATTGTACATAGTATGGTATACAGTCTAGTATGGGAAAGTATAGTATGTTATAGTAGACAGCAACCGGGTTAAAGGGCCTTCCTCTTGTTCCTGCGTATGCGTTTGCGCCTGAGGCGAAGCTTCATGGTGAGAAGGTGAGGCTTCCGGAGTCCCAGAGGAGGAGGAGGAGGGCGATGGCATGTTGCAGTACCCGCTGCCTTACAACCACGTGGAGTCCAAAAGGCGATCCCCATATACCCCATATTCTATGTCTAAACCCTAAATGATAGTTTCCATGTTTTTTGTGCATTATCCCTATATTCCCCTATATTAACCCATATTCTAAGATGGGGGTGATGGATAGACGAAGGCCAAGCGGGATGAACACAAAACTGGTGGCCCTAAGATTTGTGCTGTAATCCATGGCATACTAATACTACACTGTACTATATACTATACTATGCACAATTCTCTACTTATATACTATACCATACTACATTAGACTGTATCATACCATGCCGGACTTTACCATTCTGTATGATTACTGTACTACGTATACTATACTATACTCATAATAGACTACACTAGAATGTACTTTACAATACTATACTATACTATACTATACTATACTATATCGTTACTATACAATACTGTACTAATATTGGGCGAGCAACGGCCATTTAGTTGGGCTGGTGGGCAAGAAGGTTCGAAAGCGAAAGATCTTCTGAGAACGTCCCACATGTACTTGGCAGAGCTGAGCAGGATGGGTCTCAAGTTGACAGAATCGCCTTTTGCATGGAATGGGCCTGGGCCAGGGTCTATATGGTAGTTTCCCAAAATAGAGGGACCCCAATATAGACCCTAGTATACTATAATCCTTCTTATGGGGACCCCTAGTTTTGGGAACTCCCCATATAGCCTATAGGGGCCCAGGCTTCAGACTAAATGCTTTGGGGGCTTGAGCTCCTCATCCCACAAGACCCCATAGACTTAGGTCAGTTCAAGCCAGCGCTCCTTGTGCCAACCTATACATAACGCAGGCAGGGAAGCGGTAGCAAAGGAACTCCAGGCCGGGCCCGATCAGAAGGAGCGGGTTGTGGAACTGGGAACAATCCTCAAACTCTGCCTTCGCGATCGCTACGTACATGCCAGCTTGGAAAGCCAATGCCACAACCACCAGGTGGATGACCATTACAACGGCGGTCGTGGCTCTCAGCAGCTCGCTCCTCAAACGGGACATGCCAATCCCCCACAGCAGCATGAGAGCAAAGTCTGGGCAGCCTCTACTTCTATAATTCGTATAATTACTATCAGTATAATTACTACTATAAGTACTCTAACTTCTACTTTTACAAAATCACGAGAAGTTCTTCCTAGAAAGCTAGTATGTCCGGGATGAGAAGAGGGAGCGGATTTCTCCGCTCACTCCAGTCAGGTCGAAAATTGTAACAGTCACCCAAGATTGTGGTGGTGGTAGTGCTAGTAGTAGTAGTTGTTGTTGTAGTAGTAGTAGTAATAATTGTTGTTGTTCTTGTAGTAGTAGCAGCAGCAGCAGCAGCAGCAGCAGTCACCACCCAAGAACTTCAGACTGTTGTAGCCTGGTTCAATAGACCCGATCGAGAATACTGTCCCAAACAACTAGTGTAGAGGGCTGCTTGTGCAAATAGGGCATGCGCGTGGAGCTGGACATGATGTAGAAGATCATAGGAACACCACTGCGGGCTGAGCGCCGGGCATCTGCAAGACAGGCTGGTCCCCCAACTCTGCGATTGCGCTGCGGAGGTTTTCCAGCTTGACCGTGAACTCCTGCCTGTCTTGACGCTTGTTGTTCGAGTCAGGCAGCGACTGCCACAGGACGTCGAGATGGGCCACAAGATTGTAAACAGCTTTGTCAGTTCTATACCTGTGGCGCTCACGTCTATCCAGCAGGCCGAGTGAACAAAGACAATCCAAGAACTCGTCTGTTGACATTTCTAGCTCGGGCGTTTTGTTGTGGAAGGCGAACACCAAGATTGCTAAGAGATGCCTGAACCACGTGAACAAGCTCTGACGATGTTCGTAACCGTTCCTGGGGTGATTTGTCTGGCTGTCGTTGAACTGGAAGCTCACGAGCTGCGCTATGGCGTTGACCCTACCCTGGACGCGGAGTATGTTTCTCACCCACCCAATCCATCGCTTTAGCTCCCAGAAGAGGTCCTTCCCGATCAAAAAGCCAGTTACCCACCTGACCAGCGTGAGTGCTTCTTGGCAGTATGCTGAGGCGCTGGCGGCATGAGAAATCTCCGTATGGTCACGTATGAGTGCCAGAAGGGGAACGAACGCTCCATTGAAACATGCAAAGGCCATGGCAGCGAAGATCATCTGAAAAGGATCCCAGTTCTGTACAGAGACGTACTTCGCCATGCTAAATCGCGTCTCCGCAAACTTCCGGAAGTCAGACTTGGCAGGAGGCGGGCGGTCTTTCGGGTTATTGCTCTCACAAAACTTCTCTTCAGAGCAGTCAAAGTCCTGGAACAGGGGTACAGTGTCGGCACACTTGGAAGGGCCTCCCACGATGTCATACTTGAACGTGAAAACCATCCCTTGCACTGAACCTTGCACCGCTGCAGCCGCTGAGGGTGAATCGCCGGAATCAAGGAAACGGCACATGTCAAGGAGCAGACCATGCCGTAGGTCAACGCAGTGCAGCAGCAATCCTCCATTCTGCTGCAGCGCCACATTTCTGCACGGCTTGCCACGAGCAATAGCTTCGCACCAAAACTGAGGGCCAAATCCGAGGATCAATCACGGTCACTCACAGGCCATACACAAACTTGGACACACATCAGGTGAAAATATGTGAAATGTTGCGTTACTTCTCTGAATCGGGCAGGGAGGTCACTCGGCTGCGTAATTTGGCAGACGCTGCCTGGGCATGGGCTCCATGCATGATATAAGCCCCTTTTCAATGACAAGTGGATGGTGATGCTGCACGTCTTCCCCCAAAGATGAGGAAAGATCATGAGAGAAGGCCCCAAACCCTAAAGGCACCAGCCTCATGCACACATCATGGGAACAGACTACAGTAGAATTTGCAATAGATTATATTGACCCTTTTCACCCAGAAGAGGAAGTAGGGGCTTTAGATTAAACTCTGCTGAAATTAGTTTTGTTGAAGACAGTGTCAAGGCAGCCTAAAAAAAGTCACATGGTAGACGAGCATCTGGCGTCTCCAAAAGTAAGGAACAACCTTTCAGTGCCCTTACAACCCAAATACATGACAAATTTCGGCATGTACAGGGGATACTCAATCTTCTCAGAACTGCCCCACGTGGAACATCTTTGTGAATTTCAGTCCATGAACTTCAGAGTGCCTAGAGTCCCCCTTAGGTAGATAGAATATGGCTTTGGGTATATTATAATAAGACCCCCATATACCCCATATTCTACCTACTTAAGGGGGATTCCAATGCAAAACCAGTGGATGCACGCACTTTCCAACTCATCGATCACAGGAAGCGGGGATCTGTCAGATCACTTCTGTCTCAGTCATCGTCATCCAGTGCCTGCGTCGTGGTTGCCACCAAACAAACTGCAGCCTTGTTGAGCTGCGTAAAAGAAAGCACCGTCTAAAAGCAAGCAACTAGGATTCATCTCGACCTTGAAGGCGACCTACATCTCCTGGTAATGCTCATTAATTCTAAGCTCTCTAAGTCTCCCCCTTTGAAGAACCCATGTGTTGGAAGAGGCAATCCCTGGCAGAACTAATGTCTTTCGGGGAAGCAGCCAACAAAACAACAAAGAGACTGACAGGGGCAGAACCCGCTTAGGCTGAGGCTTGTTTGCAACAGCTGGGACGGTAGGGATCGGTAGGGTATAGGGCTCGCCGCACCGTCGCAGGATCGTCTCAACACACAGTCAGCCTTAGGCATCATCGCCGATTTGCCACAGCACCAAGCATTATCGGACATCCTACAAGACACGCTTCGCCCAAAGAGAAGGGCGTGAGATGGTCTTACAGTGCCGCGAGACTTCGTCAAAGCGCAGCATTTTGGGTTCCACACTTTGAAACTTCCTGGAAGCCATGCCTTCAACCCTAAATCCTAATCAGTGTCGAGCTAAAGTCTAAACTCCTAGTATCCCATAGTACATAGTCTACATTATGCATAGCAAAAACTAGTATATACTCTATAGTCTATACTATATCCCCTGAATCACCCCTCTAGTAGTCCCCTAAACCCTAAACCC